CCCAAATAACACAATTTCGGGAGATGGTGATACCATCGGCATAATTCACTCAAATTACAAAAATGTCAATACTGAACATCACACACATGTAAAAAGACTCCTCAAAAACTCCATAATATTAAACTACAGAATTCACTCTGGAAATGTAGGCAGTTAGTTTTCAAATTTTGACTTTAAGATTTTTTTTTTTATTAAAAAATATGGAGAGGAGTGTGTTGAGAGAGGTGGAGAAGATGGACCTTCTGGTCGATGGATTCAACATGTCTGAGCAAGGATATGTTATAAATAAAAGTCTCCGTGAGATGAACACATGAGCAGTTCTTGCATCAGCTGCACCCACGGGAGATGTCTCGTCTTCTGGAAGAATGCTCATTTATACAGAATCTTCTGTAAGATGGAGTTGGCCACCTCCAAGGATTCCTCCTTTACTAGAACAATATCATAAGAGTCCATGTACTTGTCTAAAAGCTCATCCACCTGATCAACAACAAAAAAACCATAAAGATTAATATACAGGGAGGAGCAGCAAGTGATTTCAGTACGAACCCCGTTGTTACGTTAGATCTGTTGGGCAAAAAAGAATCTTTAATAAAAGATTAAATTCACTTTCATAAAAGGTTTGAAACGAAGCAATACTTTTAAGTGTTCAAATCCTTAAAGCTCACTGATAGAAATTTTCCCACTTGGGGGCTTTTCTCCCCAAATGAATTCTCTCTAGTCCAATGGTTTTCAAATGGGGACACGGTGCCCAAGGAGCATTTGGCAATGGCTGGATTTTTGGTCCTCATGACATCACCAAGGGGTGCTACTGGCATCAAGAGGGGAGGCCAGAGAGGCCTCTTACGCTGTACGCCCTCCCTTCCCAACGCCTACAGCATGTACCTGTGCCTACCCACTCCTTTACGCATCGCCCAAGGAAAGGGGTAAACCAGATGGCTCCAAAACAGCTGCTTTCTATCGAGTTTCATCTGAGTTTTTTCTTAGAAGGAAATCAGATGACAGATTTGTCTACTTACTCTATCATTTAGATATCCAATTTTCAGAATGTGTTCAACATTGGCTACTCCATCTGCCATTCGTAAGTCTCCCTGGGAGTCTCCCAGCAGAATTATGTTGCTGTTGTCTTTTAGTTGATCGAAATACTCTGTGTTCTTCAAGGCACCGTCATGTTTGTTAAATACATGAATTAGGTCTCCTTTAAATCCTTTGAGCACCCCCTATGAAAAGTACATAAATCCTTTGAGATAACAGGTTTTACAAATTTTATGTGTTGTAGTTTCACATTCATGAAAGGTCAGAAGGACTCAGAGAAGTAAATGTTTTTCTAGAGATACTTTAAATGTTATAAACATAAGTTGAAAGTCCAATTTTTACTTTACATTTGGTTCCTCGTGTAAAGGTGCCATTTAGAGTTGTTGCATTAAGTTACATTAAAAGAAGACTTACTAATTTTAATATTAGTCAATAGCTTTGGGAACAAAAGTTTAAGAAGGGTTATTATTTTTAGAACATGGGTATGGATATAACACTGGGAGAGATGATGAGGCCCACAGTAGGTCTATCAACTTGGCCTAATTTAATGAGCACACACAAAATAATAACAAATGCATCTACATGATTAGAATATTTTCAGATTTTAAAAGTAATGATAAGGAATGACCTGACATTCTTACATTGTCGTCAAACTCCATGAAGTTGGACACGACTTTGACATTTGGATAATAAACGCCAGCTTGACGGATGACCTCCTCTAGAATATCTCCAATCCCAGCCGAAAATATGAACATGGGGATGCTGTGCTGCTGGAGTTTGTCAAAGAAGTTCTCATATCCTTCCCTGCAAGATGGAGGTGTGATATGATTGTTTGAGTGAAGATCTATCTCTTTTATCACCTAGGTGGTTAAAAAAATACATATTTCTACCTAATTCTATGCCTCACTTAGTTCTCATTTCAAAATACTGCCCAAGGGGGACTGTTGCTGATGTCTGATACTAGCACAAGGTTTTCAAGCAACAGCTAACTTTTACCCTTCTTTTAATAAATTCTAATAGTAAAAATTAGATGATTTTAGACTCGCACTGAATATGGAGAAGCCTACAGCTCAGAATTTATACTGCTGAACAACAAATAGTGCCACCATACCTTGAAAAGCCCGTTTAGGGTGAGCTGCAAGGCCTGCTTGTCATTCTGCTCGATCCACTCCCTCCCTGCTGTTAGAAAAGCAGAGCAGCCCGACCGACCTGTGTTCTCTTTACATCTGGCATCTCTCCTGCCTAAGATGTGGCAGCTACAGGTCGTGTTTTCATCTTACAGTCTTCCCTTTTAACTCTTCCTGGCTATAGGATTAGCTGCCTAACAAAGGAATGAAATACCAGTTGTCCTCACACTGACAATTTGCTTTCCTCATTAGATCACCTTAAAATGTAGCATCATCAAGAAATAGCATCATATTTGCCTGGTGAGTTGAAGAATTTAAGAGGTAGTAAACAATTGAAAATAAGCTTTAAAATGTTAATAGCTAATCATTCATGTATTAGAAATATTTTTATTATTTGCTAAAACATATGCACCTTTCCTAGAGACAGTTCTCAAGGGCACTTGGAGAATTCACAAAGATTTAGATCAATTTAAAAAGAGGGCACTTCATAAAAACAGGGTACCTAGCTAAATACTTCTCAATTTGACTTATAAATGCTCTTTTCATATTTCATGCCTGAAAAATATTTTGCTAAAAAAATTTCAAAATGGTCTTGGTTTCCTAACTTTGTAAGTTAGTTCTGAAATTTTTAATTTGGAGAAAGGAGATGTAAATTAGTATTTCAAGCCCATAGGCATTCATTCGTACACCAAGATCTAACATGTCATTCTCAATTCCTTTTCTCCCCACTTTTATTGTGATAGGCGGCATGTTCTGGATATGTTCCTATTTGGGATATTCTTATAGATTATTTTAATAAAAATACACACTTGAATACAACATATAACAACAATTCAAATCTGTAGACAATTAACAACAAAAAACACCCGAGAAACTTACTTGAGCATAACGTCAGATTCTGCCACAATTTCTTTAAGTTTAGCTTTTGGTAAAGCCTGTTCGACAAGCAAACGATGTGATTTAGTGTACCTGGAGTTCATGACCAAAGAAAAAGAAAAGCAATGAAAGCAAATTAAAACTATTCTCTTTATGACAAAGCATTCTTCAGTATGAGAAAATGCAGTATTTCATTCATGATCTTTTGGATTTAAATTTCAGATCTTTAAACTCATGACTAACGAGTGTATACGCCACAGGCCTCAAAAGATGATACATACATTCTCAGTGCATTTCCCGATTCTCCCCAAACTCTGGCTGTAAACGTGTTTATAAGACAACGAAAGGATATTGGTGTAACCCTTTCCTCAGTCTACAAATAGGAGTTCCATCCTTGGGAGGCATAATCATTTCTTTGATTCCAATAAGAATTAGAGTAAAGCCATTTTTCACCTGTTTGTAGTCTGAATTTTCATGAAATGCCTAAGTACTGAAGATGCTGCCTAGTGAGCAAGAAAGAAGATCCTTGCTATGGGAAGTTTTATACTATATAGGTGCTTCACAATTACATAAAACCCCTGTAATCACAGCATCTCAGTATAACAAGGCCTTAGGACCTCTCCACATGACACCTACAAATCCCCCTATAACATTCCTCAGGGAAACCCCCTCTCTGGGTTGGCTCCTGCCCTATTAGTGAGCACATTCTCCCAAGGAAGCTTGTGCCATTGCTAGAAAGTTCACATTGCGAGGCAGTGCCTTCATGGTGCTGAAATCCGCATTCTAAAGCCCTCCAGGTCTCGTTCCCATTCCACATGTTGAGTAAGTCTCACCTCTTTTCAACATTTCATACCATAAGCACTGATTAAGTGTGCAAGATACTCAGGTGATGGGATAATAAATATAAATAACACAATTTCGGTCTCTTAAGACTAAAACCTCCCGATGTTGCTTCTCAGGTGAAAATTCTCTATTCCTGCCTGGCTGGCGTGGCTCAGTAGTTGAGCATTGATCTATGATCCAGATCCAGGAGATCGCGGTTCGATTCTCGCTCAGGGCACAGGCCTGGGCTGCGGGTTTGATTCCCAGCAGGGGGCGTGCAGGAGGCAGCCAGTCAATAACTCTCATCATTGATGTTTCTGTCTCTCCCTCCCTCTCCTTTCCTCTCTTTGAAGTCAATAAAGACATATTTATTAAAAAAATTAATTCTCTATTCCTTGGTATGTTCCTCCATTGGAGTGGCTCCAGTTCCTGGGGTTACCTTAGTGAACTCCTCTGACACTGAGTTTGTCAGCGTTTCTCTCCGCAGGTTCTCCCAGGAAGCAACTGCTGGCAGTGCGGCCTGCTTAGAACGAATGGAGCACTCCCGTGAAGGCAACCAGCAGCAGGGGTGATCTCAGAAACTGTCCCCCGCTAGCTCCAGCTCAGTACAGAGTCCATCTAAACCCCAATACGTTTTCTTTACACACTGAGCCACATCTTGTCCATAGACTTGAAAGAAAAAAAATTCTTGTTTTGAGTTTAAGGCTTAAGTGCAGAATTTTAAATTTATTCCTGTTCTTCATCTTAAAAAAAACACACACCAAAAACAGAGTAAAATGAATTCTAGACTGTGAGAGTGATTAGAGAATTAGAGTTTGTTTTGTTGTTTTTAATCACTGCTCTAACTCATTGGAAATTTACCAATCTATTTACACACAGTGCAGGGGGAAGAGAAACCATTATTTGTAACCGTAGTATAATGCCATCACATTTTAACCCTCCCATTGTCCATACACACTTACCATTCTATCATATAAGGTTTCTTCTCTTCTACCGTAAGAAAAGGATCAGTTTCAATAGCATAATATTTTTCCTTTAGTTCCAGTAACTAGAAATAAGCAAATACCTTGATTATAAAGACTGCAGAGTTATCATTAAGCTGCTTAGTTTTATAGGAAGCAAACAATGTAGACAAGTGTTTTTCATAAACTGCTTTAAATGGTAAAGATTAGCTCATGAGTACCTAATACATACAGTGACGGAAAAGATCTGTGCTGATTTTAGTTTACATGTAACTAAATATACCTGCACAAAGCTGCTTTTTTTAAAAAGTACTTTTCAGGTCAGCAATTCAGTGAAACCAACTAATAATCAAACTATCGCTACAAAAAAATTTCATTCTTATATGAAATTATTAAATTTGGTTCACCTTTGGAGTCTTTTATTAAGACAGACACAGGCAGACACCTACTCAAAAGAAGCAGAGAACTGAGGCAATTTCCTGACCAATTTAAGAGAGCAAAACCTGCAGTAAAACCAAAGTAGTTTTGTTTTAACTTTCCAGTTAAGGTAAAGACACCAGAATATTTTTTGGTAATCATTTAAAAGTTTCTCATGTAAGTTTTGTGGTTATTAAAAAGTTACTGTCATGTTTTTTCTTTAAAACATGCTGAGTGCTACAATCCGCAGAATAAACCTAACATTTATTGAGTGTTTACTACGTGCCAGGTGTGGCTATAAGCACTTGGCATTGGTGCTCGTTTGTGCGAATGAACCTGAAGAAATCAGCAGAAAGGGTAAGGAAGTCTTGCAGTAACTGGATGAGTTAGTGCTTTTACCTTTTTTCGACATTCATCTGAAACCAGCTTACAGTTGTCAATGATATCTAAAGAGGAAAAGCAAAGGATGCATGAAAAATACTCTCGTTGATGAGTAACTTAGTACTTTTAAGGCTGAATGCTGAGCCAACAAGCATGCTCATTACAGCCGTCGGGGTAGTGCACAACCGTCGGCAGTGCCAACTGGCGGGGCACTGCTGGAGAATCCGACGGCTCTGAAACCCACGATTTGGTGGCTCGTTTGCACCACTGAGCTGGATAATTCAAAGTCTTCGAACACTGTGAGCTGCATGCGGAGCGGTCCCTTTACCACCATCCTTTTCAGTTAAATAGCAGGGGATACATCTGGGAAATCTACTTTCTTTCTTAATAAAATGTCAATAAATAATGTGAAAAGCTGGAAAATATAGGTTGTAAAGATAACAAAAATGACAATCTTACCATTTAATAATAAATTCCTAAAATTTTAGTATATTTCCTTTCAGTCTTAAAGTTCTATGCATTATCAGTTAGGGAAGCGATTAAACCAGATCTGTGCTTTTGAATTCTGCTTTCTTTTGCACTTCACAGTGTAGTCTGTGTCTTTTCATACGATTAAAACCTCTCCATGAATATCATTCACAACAGCTATATGTTCTCTGTTTTGCGGGCATGACATCATTGATACCATTTCTCCAGTCTTAAAATTTTTAGGTTGTTTCCAAGCTTCTGCTATTATAAATAATTTTATGTTGAACTTTGTTACCACTTTTTCAGTGAATACAGCTTTTGTCCCTACTTTTAGGATTACTTGATTAAAAATTTTCCAGAGGAATTATTGGGCCAAAGGGTATGATTTTTAGGAGTTTTTATGAAACTTATCAAGATGAGGCCTCAGATTCCACATGCACTGACAGTAAATGGGAGGGTGTACATCATGGTCGGATTGAAGAGTATTATTTTAAAAACTCACTGCCAAGTATGGGAAACAAAACAGGTGTCTTATCCTAGCAACACATTTTAACTTGATATTTATTTAATAACTTATTCTTTAAGTTTACATATAAGTGACACCAAAATGTAGTAACATTCCTAGAAAATGTTACTCATGATAAATGCTGTTTCTGTAGGTTAATCCAAAATTTAAAATCCATTTAAATATTTCTTGAATCATGAACAGACCATATTTGGAGAAAAATTTCTGAAGTCTTTATTCCTCTTGCACAGAAAATAGCCATTTATGTAACGTGGGGAAAAAGAAATCCTCAAAATATAGAAAGAAAAAGCCGTCCACGGCCATACTGCCCTGAACGCAGCCGACCTCGGCTGAGCTCGGAAGAAAAGGCGGGTTCCCTCGCTTCCCACGTGCAGGGGAAGGCGCAAACCCCAATCTCCTAGATAATATGACAGGTAGAAAAGGGTCTTAAAGTAAGGATGGCTTTCATGAGCTTGTTACAGTGTTGCACTTACTGTGACATGTGGGACATCTTTTCCCTTTGTAGGAAAATCTACTCAGTGTCATATCAAAGTCTGTTATTATCTGTAAGAAAAGGGGAGAAGGCATTATGGAAGCGGCCGCAGGCCGGCCGGAGGGCAGGCTTCCCAGAGGCTCGGGACTGTGCCCTGTCCCCGGCCCCAGTGTAAGTTATTTCCTCTGCACGGAGTTTTCTGATGCAGGTCATATACCAAGTCCCGAGAATTACGTTAACTACAAGGCAATACCTTACATGCCTGAGCGCTGTTACCACATACAATCTCATTAATCAGGATAGGAATTTGCAGTTGCAGGTATTGTGGTTACAGTTATCCATAGCGATAAAACACTGCACAATTTCACCCCCCTTGGTCAATGTACAAAAATGCAGTGAAAGCAATTAAATGACATTCTAGATGTAACCTGTTTATACAAGTAAATAAACTATACCAATCGATGAACCATACCTGGAACACTGCCAGCTCTTGCGATTTAGGAGGTTGGGTTAAATATTTTTTTCAAAAATGTTTTAAAAAAAGAAATGATTTATTGTTATTGACTATCTGGGTTGTTGATTCAGTTTACATTTAAAACATCCCTTTAGCCTGGCAGGTGTGGCTCAGCTGTTGAGCATCGACCTAGGATCCAGGAGATGGCGGTTTGATTCCCAGTCAGGGCACATACTTGGGGTTGCGGGTTCGATCCCCAGCAGGGGACGTGCAGGAGGCAGCCGATCAATGACGACTCTCTCATCATTGATGTTTCTCTCTCTCTCTCCCCCTCTCCCTTCCTCTCTCTGAAATCAATAAAGATATATAAAACAACAAAAACATCCCTTTAAATTAAAAAAAATAAAAATCAGTTATCCCTAATAGCAAAAACTTAATTGAACTACTATGATTTATTTAAGATATGGAAGAGCAACTTGAAACTAACTGTACATACTTAATATTATTCTTAAAATAGTTTAACACTTAATGTACAGTATTAGTTAACTTAGTAGTTAATATTAAAGAAAAACTAAACTTATTTCAAGGCTATTAATTTTTGTCTGTTTCCAGCAGGATATTCTACATATTTTTTACAAGCTCTAGACCTATCTTTCAGATTTTACATTCTGAAAGGATAGGCTAAACTTCTCTATCTAAACTTTTTTTGCTCAGAGACACTGCAAAGCATGAGATAAATGTGCCTACCTGAATGTTAGAAATAAAGGTTTAGCAATAAAGGCTTCTTGATAAGAATTCACCTGAAGTTTGATAGCTCCTCCTTTGATAAGACCGCAGATAATTTCTTCTACTCTTGTAGGGTTCTTGATGCGAACTGAACTCTTCTGAAATTCTGGCATCTAAAAATCAAAGGAAATGAACTGACTCTTTAACTCCTCTTTTGTCAGGTTCCTTGGGTACCAAGCAGCAGCTTATATTATTTAAAGGTTTTAAAATGTTGAGGTGTCATATAAAAACAAACCACTGTATCAAATTACCATTTATACACAAAATTTTTAAAAACACGCCAGTAGTTTCCATCTAGAAGATTAAGATAAAACCACATTTGTAATTAATATATTATCAGAAAGTGTAATTTTTCTAATTAGAAAAGTCATGCACGCATATTATAGAAATTACAGAAAAAAGAAATTGCCTCTAATTCTATTACCCAAAGATAGACAGACAACCATTTTATTTTTCATTGTTTTCATTTCTCTGATTACCGATGTGCATGTATATGCACCAGTTTATCTCATTCTCATGACATACTTTTGCATCAGGCTTTCGGAAATTAGTAGTATTACATATATAGTTATAAGAAAATTAGGAGAATTCATTAAGCAAAATGGAATGTGAGAACTGGAGAGTATTTGAACTTTGTGATAGTTTTCTTATAAGAACCTTTCTGCTTAAGACTGAGTTTATATTCATATTTACATTTTCAAAACTTTCTTAGCAGAAAGGAAACAAATATTACATGATTATTCCCTACAAATTGACCTCTGTACAGATAATTCAAGTATATTTAATATACTTGATTTGAAAAGCTGCTTCGAGATGTTTGCTCCTTCACTGTACTATATTCCAAATAACTTCATTGTTCTTGGTGTACATTTTACAGCAGATTTATTTCAAGTTAGGACAACTACTAAAAAGCATAAGACCAGTGGGGCTAGGCTGCTACAAGGATGGTTTGTTCAGGCTTTAGTGTTTCTCAACAATTTAATGTGTTTCCCCTACCCTACCGCAGACACAGTGAAATGGAGCCGAGTAAATTCGGCACCAGCACGGTGCTCCGACAGCACATGCACAAGCAGACCCGGCGGGGGAAATTATGGGTCACGTAACAGTCGGCTCCACAGTATAAACAGACAGTCACAGGACCTCAAATCAAGGTCCTATACTGTTTGCACCTGACAATCTTTATTCATTTCATATGCTATTTTTCTGGGAATGTTATCACCCATATTAACGTATTTCACCTGTGTAATGGACACGGCTATGAAATATTCCCCCGACCTTGTCTCTTTGCTACAAGAGAACCTGACCAGGTGAGCCTGTCGGGCCCCATGCTGTCTCTACATAAAGGATGAAATTAGAAAAATCAGGAAAAGGCTAAACTGAAACGGATACAGAAGTGTATAGGAAAGAGAAATGCTAATATTAAAATTTTCTCCATGAATGAAAGGCCTGGGCCCACAATACACTTCCTTTCTTTAAAGAGCTGTATTTAAGTAGATAAGATCACTTACAATGCAACGAGCCTTCATACAGTGATCCTTTTAACTTAACTGGACTTTAAAAGGTTTCAACCGATTGAAGGTTATCTAAATATTTACAGTAATTTCTGCCTGGCGGCATAGCTCGGCGGCTGAGCATCGACCTAGGACCCAGGAGATCGCTGTTTGATTCCCGGTCAGGGCACAGGCCCGGGTTTCGGGCTCCATCCCCAGCAGGGGGCGTGCGGGAGGCAGCCGATCAATGACTCATCATTGATGTTTCTATCTCTCTCCCTTCCTCTCTCTGAAATCAATAAAAACTACATATGTATATATAAATAAATATTTACAGTAATTCTTCAATAGATGAGACAAGCAAATAGGCACTTGTTCTAGATTCCTTTTTTCACTCATTTATCCATTCACTTGCTTGAAAGGCAAGTTGTTGTGAACTGTCCAAAGACTTTTCAATTTGATTATGATATGATTTTATGGAAAATAAATGTGAGCCTAAACGTTTTCATCATCTGTGGACAAAAGAAAACGGATTCATTTCATAAGGCCGTGATGTAAAGGTGGGGGAAGGAGCAAAGCTTCCCTGACAAGACCCCAGGTGTGCTGGTTGACTGGAGCTGATCTGAACGAACACTAACGATGACTGAGAAGGACCTAGCACACACTTATTCTGGCTGATCTGTACAATACTGCACTTGTGCAGATAATAAACACAACAAACTCCTATTAGTCTACTTCCATATTCAAAAAGCAGTGATTTCTAAAGAAGCTAATTTCTAAGATACTCAGGTTTATTTAAAGCCCTATAGCAATATTAGATTTAATATTATCTTACGAAGATGTTTACTGAGATATAAATGACAAGATACAAGTAGCTGTACGGTATAGTCACAAAATTGTCCTAGTGATGCTTACCTGTAGTTTTCTACAGCCTACATAAAAATTAGTTTAAATTAATTAAGAATTTCTGTTCAAAGCTCTCAGGGGATGTATTTTGTCTGTTTTCTAGTGTTAATATTTGGTACAAGCAAAAGGCTTCATTACTGCATTGGTACAAAGGAGCAGGCACTATGATTTTTACGTAACTACATAAAAAGTATAGGTTTAAAGACACCTATTCAGACTGGTACATTTACTCATGTACACAGATGGTTCTGGGATTTACTGGAAGGTCATGCATTACTACACTTTAGTGATAACCATCTCTCCTTGCTTCCCACATATGTGGCCCGTTTCCACATTGAGGTCATATAGGCCAAATTCTTTCATTCATTCATTCACCATATAGTTATTAGGAAAGGCACTATGTTAAGGAGGCCTGGGAGCGATACAAAAGCTTTAGTAAGATATACTTCTTATACTCAAGATATATATTCTGTAACCTGGACTATAATACAGGAATCCAAATAACTACTGCCTTGATAAGACATCCAGGTGAAATACAAATGGAACAGAGGAACTGAGATTACTGATGCTGAGCTAGGCCTTCAAAGAGCAGCAGGGCCTGGATATACTGAGACTGGCGAGGAATCAAAGTACAGGGTCTATTGGGGGAGAAAGATAAATAGCTCTGTTTGTCTAAAACCTAAGTGTATGTGGAAAGAAGTGTGTGTGTGTGTGTGTGTGTGTGTGTGTGTGTAAAGTCTAGAAGGAGAGATCTGGAGCCAGGCTATGCAAAATGAAGGTTAACGTCCTAAGGGGCCTTCAACCTACAAAATGTGTACCAACGTTTTCAGAAAAGCAAACCCAAGGCAAAAAGTGTGTAAATTAATGCAATGATAGTAACATATATATAAGTATACATTATCTTTGGCTTCTTTTCCTTCCTAGCCTTTTTGTGGGTTGGCTACATAGTTACTTGCTTCAAAAAGAGACACAGGTTAGAAGGTTCTGTGGCCCAAGTAATAAAAAATTGTCCAGCAGGGCATTCCTACACCACTCGTATTCATTTTGGTTAAAAATAAAGACATACATTGACTCAAGCAAGAAAATAAGTTTATACTGATACAATTCAACACATCAGAAACACAAGCTCAATACCAATGAATTAACACATTGTATGCGGGAAACGTATTTATACGTTTTACGTTGACTGGTAGTAGAGCGCGTGATAAAAACTACCCGCAAACAACGTGTTAAACACTAATCATGCAAGTGAGGCAAAGTTTCCCATCCAGGTGTTAGGTTGAACCACATGAAATTGCCAGTATTGGACTACATCTGATGTATAAAAACAGCAATTTCAAATGCTTCCTCCTAACACCAGTAACTACACTGATGACAGCTTAGCCAGAACTCTGAGTCAGCTTTCCCCTCCCATCCAACACTGGACGCAAAGTGAGCTGAACAAGAGATTCATCAGCTATCACACAAGCTGCGAGGATGCTACGTCATGTTCCGGTCTGTAGGCTCAAACAGGAAAAAGAAAGCTAGAAAGAAACAGGATAGAAAAATAGAGAAGAGAAAGCACAGGGGAAAACCACCAGAAACAGAACATAAGAAAGAGATCATGGGGGGAAACTGTGATTTTTTAGGATTTTATAATTGTGAATATAGAGAACGGATATAATCTTTTTCCACACGTACAAGTAAATATGATACTTACACAGTTACAACACTCACATAATACAGGTGATTAACATTTGGAGTGCTTACTATGTGCTAGTAGGCACTTTACATACTTTTTCATTAAGTATAAATAAGAACATTTCAGTTATAACAGGAGTAAGGTCTGAGGATCTAATGTGTAACATGTTGGCTATAGTTTATAACTATAAACCATTATATAGTTGAAATTTATATTTTTATATAACTGAAATTTGCTGAAAGAGTAGAACGTCAATGTTCTCCTTTAAAAAAAACACAAAACTGGAATGTGTGAAAAGTGATGGATGTGTTAACTAGACAGATATATACATGTATCAAATCATGCATTGTACACTTCAAATATCTTACAATATTATTCATCAATTATACCTCGATAAAGATGGGGGTCATATGAATGAGAACCACAGGAAGTTGGTGGTTTCATTTCTGTTTCTCAGAGCTGAGATTGTTGCCCTCATTCGAGGGTCTCACAGCTATCGAGGGTTGAGGTCAGATTTGAAGCAAGTTCTAACTCCAAAGACTGTATTTTCCTACCTCATCCTAACGTCTATAACGCAACAAAGTCTACTGTTGTCCAAGAAGTTTTTTTAAAAATGTAAGTGCTTGCTATTTTTAATTCAGAGGCCTACAATAAAATCTCTCACACTGTATGATTTACGTTTGTTGCTGAGCAAAAAGCATTTAGCACAAAAAGGAATGGGGGAACCATTTCACCATTTCATATGCTGAGAAACACTTTAATGCACATAGTATTCAAGCAAAAGAATGTCAAATGTAAGTTGAAATTCAGTTCAACAAATATTTGAGGTTCTACTGCTGAGTCAGACATTGCAAAGAAAGATCTGTGTAAAGTTCCAGCCCCATAGTGAATGACCTGCTTAGAGGCAGAGGCAAAGGTGAAGAGTCACCATCAATGAATGGATCTGGAAATATTTAAATACCCACCATTTTCACATCTACAGCAGAATCTTGATTAGTCATATCTTGATTATCCAATCTTCTGGAATTCCCCAGGTGATGTCACAGTAAAAGAGAGAGAAAAAAGGTACATGTGACACACATACATTTCAGGCTCTTCCTGTGTTACTGACATACTAAGGTGGTACTTTTGGATTGATTTAAATACCAAGTTATTGAGGGCATCTCTTTTCTTTCCTAAGAAGCTCAATAGAGACTTTATCTCTCAAAGTTTGAGGTTAAAAGTTTTAAATGGAGAATTTGTAGCTCTCCCCTTTGAATTTCTGTGGTGTCAAGATTTGAACAGAGTTAAAGTAAAGTAGATATTTGCAAAAAAGTGCTTTATAACAAGAACATTTTATCAACATTTTCTCTACATGTGAGGATGAAATTTGTAGGAAAACTATGCATTACTATTACTAAATCAATGAAGGAATATAGAAAAAATGTAAGGAGAAACATAATAGACAGTAAAATTTATTCTTTAATTTTCTCATATTAAAATCTTTAATTTTATGGAATGGCATAACTGAGATCTGAGTTGCGTTTGAATCTAGCATAGTATCTAGTGCATAGTAGACAGGTGATAGTGTTTGTTAACTGAATAATCATTTTAGGGGTTTGGGTGAAATTTATACATGTCTAGTTTTTAAAACAAAATAAGAGTTTTAAAAATATCCCTTGTTATTGTAATATTTTTCATTTTTGCAGTATAAATCTTAAGGAAAATTACATATTAACTTTTTGGTACTCAATGACTTTCTTTACTTTTTTTTACTTTATTCTAATTAAATAAAATTTTATAATAGAAGCACTATTGAAACTTAATCTTGCAACTTAGTTGAAAGATTAAAAAATCAGATTTTTTCCCCCTAAACTCTAGTAACAGAATGTGGACATTAGATCCCTGTTCTTGATAATTAAAATGTGTTATCGCAGATACATAAAAACTCCTTAAATTCTGAAACCCACCCCATTTCCATTTTAAGTGCATAAAACTGGGAAATTTCTTATAAAAAAGTATTTTCCCTCCGTTCCCAGAAAGGATATTAGTCAGTTGATGATCTTATCATTGATGGCATTTTAGAGTAAAAAGCATTGCCAAATAGTAAACTACCTCCCAGTTTTTCACATATGAAGAAATAATGCAGTATCTATTACCCATCCGTATATACATACTCTCTATATAACTCATAAAACATTTGATCACCACTCCCAGAATGTAATTATAATGGTAGTTTGGGAGTTAGTTGCCTTTATTTTTTTGGGGGTAGTAGTCTTTAGGTAATTGTTGATATAGTCAAACATAGGGTCAAATTCAAGTAACCTTTGGTCTAACATCTTTCTGTCAGTCATCTAGCTTAAACAAAAATGTAGAAGCTGCCTACAAGTCTATTTATTTATAAAACCAAAGCATACAATGGTAAGTGCTTATGGTTTTTCTTTGATTGTTTAATATCTGAAAAGGAGCCTGGATTTCTAGAAGGAACTATTTAAATAAAACCATTTTATTAGCTTGAAAAAGAGGAAGGAGAATGTGGAAAAGTACAATAGAGTTTACAAAACTACCACACACTCTGTGAGACACTGGAAAAGCCCAATGAAAACAATTCAAACAGGGAAGGGTACATTTTAATATCTGGGCATCTAAGCTTCCTTTGTTACACATGGCCAAGCAGCCCAATTTCTCTCCTCCTCCAACCCCCAAGTATGGCTCTTTATGGAGCCTTCATGCTTAGCTTTAAAAAAAAAAACAGGCAGTGTTACTAAGTGAAAGAGTAGTTGTCTTTCTCATGGTCTCTTCAAATTTTATTTAAACAAAACACACACCAAAACAGTCATCAGAAATTTGCAACTGCTGAATTTCCAACTTTAGGACATTATTCCTGATAATTAGGGCGTTACTTCTGATAATTTGGATACTATTCGAATTTCAAGTGCAGATCTCTCATCCTCTCCAATCCTCACGGGCAATCTGACCAAAATTTATTCTTGTTCAAAAATAATCTCCTATAAAGTGATACTGCGGTCCTAATACAAAAACCAGCCTGAGGTCATGACCATTCTGAAAGTGCATAGCCTAAGGCATAAATGTCAGTGTCCTGGCACAATTCTAGAGAAGGCATAGAAACGAGGGCAAGGTATTTTTAAACCAATAGGCTTGTAAACCTATACTTGGTATATAAAGTTCTGGCTTCCTCTGCCAACAGTCATCTGTCGCAGATGCTCCAGAAGAAGAGCTGCTGGAAAAAACACATCAAGTGTGGAAGACATGTTCAAAAATAGAAAATACCAGCCTTGAACTCTGAACTCTCTTCAAAGGAAGTTTTGAAGTTTTAAGCCTCTGGAATCTTCAAATGCGGATGGCTAATGTGGAAGGTAGAAGGGAGCTGCTCTGTGTGCTTTCCGGGGGGTTCGGGTGTGACTGTCGGTGTTCCTTACAGGGGCTATGCAGGGCAGGGCGAGGCTGAGGTCGCAGGCCGGAGGCAAGAACTGCGCTTGGCCAGCACCGACCTGGGCACTGGAGGTTTCGGCTCTGGTGGTCTTTCAGCCTGAGACGGCTGCTCCCTTTACCTTGGAAATATAGTGACAAGTCAGTGACTGAAAGTTCTGTCTACCTGAAAAATAGCTACTTGCCTTTATGCAAATATCTGAATGAAAGTTGAATACTTTTCAAGGCCCATGAGATTCTGTGTTCTGGGAAAATGAAAAAACTTAAATTCCTTCATATAGTTAGCTCGAAAGGTTATGATTCTGCTTTAATTTGGATACCTGAAGAATCAGTTAAACTACTCGCCAATAAGGTAATGAAATCCTGAATGGTCTGTATACTACTACTTACATAGAAAAGGCCTGCAGTTCTATAGCAAGGACAGGCCATCGGTAACAGTGCCAAACATCCGTGATGAATCCATTTTACTGCACTTTTTAGCAACCTGCATTACTTGTCCTAAGCTTGGGCATTTAATAACAACACTTTCTTAGAGTAATTAGCACATGGAAAAAAAAATGAAACTGTAAGTTTATTATTTCCATATCATTTTAAATCAGTTTCTTGAGGCATTTGAACAATTCTCCCTAATTAAATTTTCAAGGCAGCAGTAAAAAAAAAAACTTGAAAGTGAAACTTTATCAATACAGATATAAAACTAAAACGAAACTGAATAGCAAAAGGTGGGAGGAAAAGGGAAGGAGGTAAAGGAAAGAGGAAAAATAGTTTTCAAAGGGTAGTTTTTAAAAATTGTCAATTTATACCAACTTTCTTTAAACAGTAAAACTTGCCTTCCCAGTCAGAATGTAATGGGTACTTATGAAAATACTTAATTTCAGAGCTTAGAATTTATTCGTCCACACTGCCCTAATATCTAACAGCACTTTTTCAAGATGAGTTAAACCAAGGCACATGGAAATTAAGTAATGTGTACTGATTACCCTTACGGCACTCTGCGTTCTTCTGTCCTTGAGTCTGTCCTAGAACACCCGCAAGGTGGTAAGCAATATCCAGAGATGCTTGGATATAGGCTGCCAATGAAAACCAAGTAAACCGCTTTAAGAAATGGTCTGCTGCATTAGCTAATTTTCCTTATTAAAAAACAAACTATAAAAAATAAGGTAAATTCAATTATTTACATTTGACTTAGTCATAATGCTCTCCCTTTTATGGTAATATATATGTTTGAATATTAATTTACAATATACAATTTGTTTTAAGCCTTAGAGAGAGTAATCTAGCTTTTATCAATTCATGAAACATACCAATATAATCCTAGTCCATGATGTCCTGGATAAAGCTCAGTGGCACAAAATAAAAATTATCTTTATTACTAGCCCTAATGAATAGTTCCTAATCTTAGAGACACAAAGCATGTGACTGTTAGCAAAATTAAGTTAGACAGCAACTGAATGAACAACAAAATTGGATCTTACAATGTTTTTTCCCCTTAAAACGAGATTTCTTAGAGTACTTTGCTTTTTCTTAATATCTACATGTCAAACAAGAAGCTCTTAAAATTAGATCCTATACATTTCTGAGACCTAAGACACTGCAAAGTTTTACATATTCAGATCTTTGCAAATTACAGTTTTGCATTACACTGGATCATTCTATTTTCAGTTTCTTAATTTACGTTTTTAAATGCCTAAACTTTCAATCAGATACTAAAACCAAGTAAGAATCAGATCAAGTTCAGCAAGAGAAGTTCATTTGTCTACACGAACTGTACACACTCACCCCGAAGGTAACCGGAGCAGATACACCAGCGAAAGAAAATTCTTCCTGTCTGAGAAGCCCTAATATAGCACAAGGTGCAACGGAGGGCGGGTCCAGAAGCCTTGCTAAACTCTATGCAAAAACAGGCCCGTGACTCATTACTACACAGGGCTTTATTATGCTCGGGTGACAGGCAGGCTAGCTCGGAGCTGCTCATCAGTCAGTCTAGAGAACACGATGGGCTGAAATAATGTGGCAGCTCGGAGAAGGTGGATCTGCACTGTCAGAGCACCAGCAACTTGCTGGGCAAAGAAAAAAGGAACTCCGATATTAATGCAAATACTTCCTTCCTCTTGGGGAGTTTTGTTTTTGGTTGTCAGTGTACTTGTGGCATGTGAGTTCTTCTGTGTGAATAATAGATTTCAACGCAAAGATTAGGTCGTGGCAGGGACTGGGGAACGGGGTGATGGGTGTTGCTCGGTTGCTCAATGGGTGCAGAGTTTCCATTCGGTAGGTGAAAGGACTTCTGCAGATGGATGGTGCTGTCGGCTGCACAGCATCGAGAATGTCCTTAAAGCCACTGCACTTAGAACTAGGGACAATGGTAAACTTTTGTTATGTATGTTTTACAATTTTTAATAGATTAGCTCATTTAAGACACATAGAAAAAAAGACAAGGTGCATGTCTGTATATGGTCAGCAGCATATTAATAGTCTTTACTGCAGGGCAGTGGGATTTAAAGGGATTTTTTTGTTTTTCTTCACATTTTTCTAAGTTGTTTGAAAATTTGAACAAGACCACACGTGGATTTGCTAATAAAAAAAAAAAAAAAAAAATTGAACACAGTGAAAACTAATTTTTATGGTTAAGAAAATTGATAAAAGTTCCTTTTCTGCTGGAAATAAAAGCAGTCAAACTGCTGCAAAGGGAAAAAAATTTAACTTTTCTTTATTTTCTTTTTCAGTAAATTTTTAACTTTTCAAGAGAACCGGTCTTGCTTTCAACCTGAGAAGTGGACTGCAGTGTGCGAACAGCATGTGTCAGGGCAGATAAACTGCATCCTGGATTCCGGGCAGCTTTATCAGTAGGAACAGGGCTAAGCTATATTCCTGTAAATAAATTTTATATCAGTCTTCTCTCTTCTGTGCTCCAGAGAAATCAAACCCACGCATATGTCAGTAATCAGACTTTGTGAAGTAGGGTTTTCTGTTAAAAACAACCCTAAAAAACTCCAAAATTTAAAGATTGCTTTTAAAAAAGGTAACTAACAAATCATCTAAACTCAGTCTCTACCAAATGTTAAAATTTGGCACTGCTGTCTTATGTCAATATGATGAGAAGATTCACAACAAACTATTCCTCACAGGGGAAATCTTTTATACAACAGTAATGGGGGCTGGCTCAAGGACGCCGAGGTGATTCATTTTGAAAACACTCCTGTATTATGGGTGGATATGATGACTAACTCTCCTCATACACTAACATCGTTAGCACCGTAAGAATTTTATAGGTATCACTTTGAAAGACAAATTGAAATAAGTCATCTTCAACATCAGCAAAGAGCTAGAGGTCCACCTTTTGGAGGACGATTTAGAAATACCATGACAAGCTTTAGAAATACGCATTCCCTTTGACACATCAATTTTGTGTCCTAAGGAAATACGGCAGAGTACACAAATGCCTCGTTGCCAAGATGTATATCGCAGAGTTGTTTTATAACACTGGAAACTGTAAACAACCTAAATGACCGCCCTGGCTGGTGTGGCTCAGCTGGCTGAGGCTCGGCCTGTGCACCGGGAGGGTCTCGGATTTGATTCCTGGTCAGGCACCAACAGGCGGCCACCAACGGGTGTTTCTCTCTCACATCACTGTTTCTCTCTCTCTCCCTCTCCCTTCCTCTCTCTCTCTCTCTGATTAATAAGAACACATATTTTAAAACCTAAATGACCAATATCTAAATGTTCATTAAGACAGGAAAGGTGAATAAATTGTGGTTAAACACATAAAATGTAAAATTATACAGTTCTTAAAAATAATTATTAGAAATAGCTAAAATTTATTGTACATTTACGATGTGCCAGATACTTCTTAAGCACCTGACGTTCCTTATCTCACCTAAACTCACAACCCTAGAAGGTATGGGCTATCATTACCTTCATTTCACAGGTGAATAAATTAAGGCTTGTAGCTGGCAAGTGGCAGAAATGGATTCAAACTCGGGTCACTCTGACTTCAGAACCTGCGCGTGTAAACCACTGGACGGTACTGCTCTGTGAGAGCAATAGTTACAGGGGTACTGATGTGTACATGGTCTGCTACTACTTAAAAAATGTTACCAGTATCTACAGCAAGAGTCCAATTTTGGGGATAAATCTTTATGTGAGCTTAGGAAGTCTAAAATAGAATACATAAGACAGTATCAATGATGGGGTTAAGAGGCCATATATATTTTAAAATTTTTATTTTCTGAGCTTTACAAAATAAACGAATTCCTTGGAAATAAAACACAGCTGCTTAAAAATGCTACAGTAATAGCACTAATTGTGGCCATAATCAAAAAAAGAAAGTTAAAAAACCCCAAAAAACCTCAGAACCAGCCATCATCATATGGATGGATGATTTAAAACAATGTTTCTAAAATAGGGACAGAAGCAAGGAATTCAGCCAGTTTGCTCTGAAATAAAACACAGAAAGGAAAGAAAGATGGCTAGTATCTTATCAAGACGGCTGTGCCTGCCTCTAAGGGTAGAAGCCAGCTTTGGCTTTGCTGGTGTTCTGCCTGCCAATCGAGAGAACAGAGGAAATAGGAGTTGCCTCCTGCCTGTGGGGGGCTTCTGCCTCCTAATTCCACCCTGTAAATGCACATGCAGTGGGGGTGGGGTGGTGTGTCTGGCGGACTGTCCTTCCAGGGGGGATTAACATTCTTCTAGCACTTTCTTATCCTATGTGTCAGTCTCAAAAGCGTGCAATGGCTCTTTATATGCATACTAATTTATTTTAATGAGCATGGCCCCAAGAGAAAGATAATAATTCCCCCTTTTGATAGAGAAGGAATCTAAGGTTTGGAGAGGTTAAGTCACTTATTACTTACGTACAAGAGCTATAACATTTTTTCATACTATATCATGCTGTTTCTAGGCAATAATATACACATAACAATTACAAGAGAGGGCTAGAGATGTCTACAAGTAAGAATGTTTTGAAACTGTGCCACAGGAAAGGATACAAGCAAAACACTGAACAAAAAAAAATAAATTTTGCTTCAAATAGCTGTGGGGTCTTTTTTTTTTTTTTTTGAGAAGGGATATAAAGAAAGGATCCAGGAGTAAGAAGTCATTAAAAGCTAGCAAGCAGCACAATGGACTTTCATCTCTGGACACAACGACTGGGCCCTGTTGCCTTGGAGTTTCTTTCCTCATTGTCATAAAAACAGAAACCACTTGTACACCACTCCTAATGCAAACCTGAGACCTGAACTTGATATGCCAGAGAGCAAAGAACTTCTACGGGACTCAAATTTTTGGGAGGTTATTCTCCGCTCATAACACTGACGCTGGATGTTTTTATGAATGGAGAAAAGCATACCCATCTGCACTTCTGAAAAACCAGTTACAACTTTTTAGATCCTGTCAACTACTCAGTGTTATGAAAACTTAAAAATCTATAAGTAATCATTTCGTATTTTGCCATCAAAAAGTTTCTCAAATTTGTAATTATGAAAAAATAAAAAGGCCCATAGAAAATCAAATCTATCAATTTAAACCTTAATTACTTATTCATTGCCTGATTCATTTTGCTTTTAATCTTGGGATAGGGAAGTAAAGGGAATTAAGGTATTACATTAATTAATAGTTGTATGTGAAAGAAATAACTTCCTAATCCCCCATAAAACCTGTACTATTTCTCACTAATCCGATCTAAGATTTAACTACTAACTCACAGTGTACCATAATCCAATTATCATCCGACCATCCAATGTACTTTGAAATGTCCTATGATCCTGACTGACACCCTAGGAAGTTATTCCAAAGGAAACAATAAAGCCATAAAAGGAAGACAATCAGTAGGAGGTGAGATGCAACACCCGGTATACAGACTCTTGCAAAACTCGTTCCTGCTAATTGCTGCGTGATGTAAATAGAAAGATGGCTTTCTTCAAACATGCAAAACATCAGTCTAGGTATCTGACTTCTCTTAAAACTCTGCTGAGGAGAAGAGTCAACTACCTTCAACAATTCTGTTCAAAACAAAATTAAAACATGCTGCTATAGATGTTTATTTGAATGTGGTTTGAAAATGTTTAAGGAGCAAAAACAAAGTGAAACAATCAAGTATTACATTTTGGGAAAACAAATAGCAGGTAAAAATTTTCTCTTAGGTGTTTTTCATTGAAAATCATTCCAAAAACATTCTGTTTAGGTGACTGTGGTGAAGTTGATTGTTGCATTTACGAATTTACAGGTATATATTCAAAAAACATACATGGTTCTAATCTCAATGCATTTCTTAAAAATTCTATGCAAAAATCTAAGATCGAGTAACTTAATTTTCAGAAACTCAAAGTTTTTTCCACATAAACTTCTTGAATATAGTCTATTTAATTGTTACTTTCTTATTTAAAAGTAA